AACACCAAGTCAAGGGTTAAGATCCTCTTACCGGTCATCTTTAAAAAAAAAAAAAGAAAATCTGAGATTAAAGATTTAGAAATTTTTTCCTTCTAATGATTAAAATAGTATCTGTTGGAAAATGAGTGTTTTTCTTTGACCTAATTTGAGTGTATAACTTTGTAGTCAACATCTGTCTTACTAAACTATTTTTCTTCAGTATTATCTTTGTATATTTTTCAGATAAACCAGGGCTTAATTTTAAAAATTTACCTAATTAATAATTATATTTTGGGAAATATATTGACACTCTAGCCTTATAATATTATGGTAATATTAAGAGGTAAAATAGAATTTTTTGGACTTTAGCTCCAGAAAGTAATTTGTATTATTTACTGTTGAGTTAAAAACAAACAAAAAAACACTCTCCCACCTCTTCCCCCCACCCCACCATTAGGTTTATATTTAGCCTTTTGGCTAAATTTGAGTTTATGAAATCACTTAAGAATGAGTTTATTCTTTAACGTTTTGCGTTTCTAATTTCTAGTTTCTTAATTTCTTTGAGCATCAGTTTAGTCATCTTTAAACTGTAGTTACTTATAGAACAGTACATCAAAAATTCATGGAAGGATTCATATTATCTTTTAATTCTAGTTTTCCATGAACTTTTCGAAGTACCCTTGTATAAAATCTCTGTGCTTTTGTGGCTGGCTTGAATAAGAGGTAGAGCGTGGCACATAGTAGGTACTCAAAATTCTTAAATTATCTTTATCCCTCTTGCTACAGGATGCTACAACTTTTTAAATTTTATCCAAAAATTTAGAACTTGTGATTCTACTGAAAGAGATTGGAATAAAGGTTTTTTTTCTCTACTTATGACAATGTTTTATAAGAAAATAAGTATTATAAGAAAATAGAATTGTGGTGACACGATATATATCTAATATACTTAAGAGACAAATTGTTTGAACTCCGTGTTAGCATAATTTGAATTTTGCTTATAATTAAATATAAAACATTTTGAAATTTATATTCTCCTTTAATTCAAACTAGCATCCTTTCCCAATTAAACCAGTTTTGATATTGGTTCTTTATGTTTATTTTGTGTGAAAATTATTTCATGAGGATCAAAATGAGCATGAGACCACATTTTTAGAAGTATGTGGTTTACAGTCTCTATTCTGTATAATGTGAGTTCCTTTGAATTTATTTTTTTCTGTCCTCTAGGAGGGCAGAGCTGCTCTCTTATTGGCAGTGAAGATTGTTGTTTTGGGGTCTAAAAAAGACTTGTCAAAAGCTATTAGTATTTTCTTCAATTTCTGTTCACCTACAATGTAATCACTTCAAATAATCAGATGATCATATAAATTATTTTAGTTAATTGTTCCTTAAAGTACTATATTTCAGTGGCCAGATTTCCATAGTATTAGTTTATATTAAGATAAACCTAACTTAGTATTTCCATAGTATTAGTTTATATTAAGATAAACCTAACTTAGTATTTCCATAGTATTAGTATATATTAAGGTATACTTTAACTTTCTGGTGGTTTGGAATCTAGATAAGTGAAAGTCTATTATTATTGGTTGATGCTTGCTTGTAACTTATCTAAAGGAAATGCTAATTTGGTAAATAATATTTTGGGAATCTACTTTTTCTTTAAAATAGTTTTATTTATTCATTTACTAAATATTTTATCGGGGAGAGAATTGTTGTTATTGTTTTTGACTAATTTATATGAAAGGACTCTATTCCTTTTTCTGTTCTATTATTTCAGATGAGTGTCCATCTCTTTAAGTTCATGAAATTTCCACTTGATTTGGTTTGTTAAAACAAGTAATTAGTTTACCCAGCTATGCTTTTATACAACCTTTTTCCATTTTCCTATTTATAGTTTTGTTTCTCTTGTGAATTCTTTCTGCAAAATCAAAGTTTAAGTTAATAAAAAAACTTTTCTTTAGCCATAAAATATGTCCTTTATGAGTTACTCAAATATAGAAAATTTGTTTTTTGTTTTTCCTTAGAGATGAGTGTATTTAAATGATGACCTGAAAGTGATTTTTGGGGGGCTTAATAATATAAGATGTCCTTAATTTTTTTCTTCCTTCTGAAGAGTGAATTAGATGTTCCTTTTAAAGTCAAGGCTGGACAAATTGGTAAGTACTTCACTCTTTGTTTGAATTATTCTTGGTCCTTTAGGTTTTTTATTTTGCCTGTATTAATTTAATCTAAAAATCTTTTTTAGCTTGACCAAAAGTGAGAGATTTTTGGTTTATGTTAGAGCTTGCAGAGTTCTGAGCTTCATACATAGTATATATAATATATACATCAATTTTTTTGACAAAAGGGTAGAAAATTACTTTCTGAAGTAGAATGACATTTGAACTCTAGTTATGCTCTTCAGGCTTTGGTTCCACTGAACAAAATATGTCTTTATTTTCAAAATTGATATGCAAATTTTGTGTGCTTTTCTTTATATGTGAAAGTAGTATAATTTGCAAACTTTAGTGAATAAACTTTAAATGTAGCTTATTTCCCTTGTATTTTGTTCCAACATTTTCATTTGGTATATTATGCAGCAGTGTGGTGTGGAGAATATGTTTTGGTAAGTACTAAGTCTCTTTCTTTGCAGGTATACTTTTACACTAAGACCATCCATAACTAAGCACATATCTTTGTTGAAGANTTGGTTGATGCTTGCTTGTAACTTATCTAAAGGAAATGCTAATTTGGTAAATAATATTTTGGGAATCTACTTTTTCTTTAAAATAGTTTTATTTATTCATTTACTAAATATTTTATCGGGGAGAGAATTGTTGTTATTGTTTTTGATTAATTTATATGAAAGGACTCTATTCCTTTTTCCATTCTAGTATTTCAGATGAGTGTCCATCTCTTTAAGTTCATGAAATTTCCACTTGATTTGGTTTGTTAAAACAAGTAATCAGTTTACCCAGATATGCTTTTATACAACCTTTTTCCATTTTCCTATTGATAGTTTTGTTTCTCTTGTGAATTCTTTCCGCAAAATCAAAGTTTAAGTTAATAAAAAAAACTTTTCTTTAGCCATAAAATATGTCCTTTATGAGTTATTCAAATATAGAAAATTTGTTTTTTGTTTTTCCTTAGAGATGAGTGTATTTAAATGCTGACAAGAAAGTGATTTTTGGGGGGGCTTAATAATATAAGATGTCCTTAATTTTTTTCTTCCTTCTGAAGAGTGAATTAGATGTTCCTTTTAAAGTCAAGGCTGGACAAATTGGTAAGTACTTCACTCTTTGTTTGAATTATTCTTGGTCCTTTAGGTTTTTTATTTTGCCTGTATTAATTTAATCTAAAACTTTTAGTTTTTTATTTTGCCTGTATTAATTTAATCTAAAAAATCTTTTTTAGCTTGACCAAAAGTGAGAGATTTTTGGCTTATATTAGAGCTTGCAGAGTTCTGAGCTTCATACATAGTTTATATGATATATACATCAATTTTTTTGACAAAAGGGTAGAAAATTACTTTCTGAAATAGAATGACATTTGAACTGCAGTTATGCTCTTCAGGCTTTGGTTCCACTGAACAAAATATATCTTTATTTTCAAAATTGATATGCAAATTTTGTGTGCTTTTCTTTATATGTGAAAGTAGTATAATTTGCAAACTTTAGTGAATAAACTTTAAATGTAGCTTATTTCCCTTGTATTTTGTTCCAACATTTTCATTTGGTATATTATGCAGCAGTGTGGTGTGGAGAATATGTTTTGGTAAGTACTAAGTCTCTTTCTTTGCAGGTATACTTTTACACTAAGACCATCCATAACTAAGCACATATCTTTGTTGAAGAAAATTTTCAATAGGGAATTGAATCTACAGAGTCTTACTAACTAGTCCATGTGACCATTTTTACTTTTTTTTTTTAAGTATAAATTGCTACTCTAGATGGCTTAATCTTAGTTTAGAATTTTCACTTATGCCACATCCTTCCTCCCACCTCCATCACCCTGCTATTACACCACATTGCTTTCCTTCTTCATTCAGTGTTCTGTATTCTAGGAAGGTTTTATCTTTCGCTGCTTTAGCAACTCTTACAATTACTTGAATACTTCTGCTTGGGTCCATTTTATATCACATATGTGTGTACTTTGAATATAAAGGAACATTTTCATGTTTTTGTCTCTTGAAACAGGAGACATCCCTTTAGATTGAAAGCATCTATACAGCATACATTATCTTTTAATTTTTTTTGTTATATACAGCTTTGCACTGAGTGTGGTGGTGATGTTTAGCAGTTCTCTGGAAGTATTGTTGTGGCTTTACATGCCTAATTGAAATTCTAGAGTCTGTAAGTTATGGCCAGTCGTTCATTCTTTTTTTTTACCTTTGAGATATTTATGCACATGTGCTATGTGCAAGACTGCAAATGGCCATGGGGGAGGCAAGGATGAATATGATATCTTTGTTTTCAGGGAAGTTATAGAGATCTAAAATTAAGACATAGATTGAAATTGGATATCCAGTGTATTGGGTGAGTTATAGTGGACTAAAAAATTTTTGCATTATTCATTATATTCTTATAACTAGGTTTATATTTTGGAGGGGTTTTTCTAATGGTATAGAATTTTTAGAATTCCTAATGGTTTTCAAAATCGTTCTTTTTGCTTTTAAAGTATCATAAAGATTTAATGGCTTCTTTCAGAGTTATGCATTGAGTTATGAGTTGAGTTACGAGAGAACCTTTACATGTAAGGATGCAAAGCATATTTCTTTATATTTATCCATTTTTGGGTTTATTGAGCCATTCATATTAGTTATTAAATTTCTGCTTAGGTTAAAATGTTATACCTAACCTGTAGAGTCTATGTGGCTAAGTAAGCCCAAGTATGATTTGGTTTTCTAAGAGCTAGACATGCTTGTGGGTGCCCCTGAGTTGTCCTTTTACTTAAAAATTAAAAAAAAATTTCTGATCTGTAAGAGGAGGCAGTAATATAACTAATTGACCTTTTTGAAGGATGGAGGAATAATGAGTTAGGATAAATGGAGAGAAGAAAAGGTTTAAGGAACAGACAGTCTCTTTCTAGTATGGCAGTAAAAGGGGCATTTCCCACTTTTTTATTTTTATTTTTTTTGTCTTTTGTCTTTTTCCGTGTCCGGCAACGGATCGCAACCCTCAGTGTTGCCCCCGTACCTGACCAGGGACCGGCAACGGGATCGCAACCCTCGGTGTTGCTCCCGCGCCTCGCTCAGCCAGTGAGCGGGAACCGGTCTGTATGTGGGATCTGAACCCTCGGGCGGGAGCGCCGCCACGCTTCCCAAGCTGCGCACTTATCCAGTGTGCCACCGGGCCGGCCCCGATTTCCCACTTTTTTATTCTTATGCTCACTAAGAGGCAATCAGATAAATCTTGTACTCACTATAAAATCCATCAGACTGAGAAATGACCCAGAAGTGTACTGGTATTACCTCTAGACATAGGAACCATTTAAGAAACTCAACAAGTTTACAAGCTGAAGAGAAATGAAAATTTAAATGAAGAAATAATTTGAGATTTTAACCCTGGGAATAGATTCCCATGTAAAACTGGCTTGCCTACCCATAACATCCTTACTTACATTGCATTATTTATTTCCTCCTCAGCTTGTTATACTGTTTTATCAGTTCTTTGAACTCTGAGCATCTTCACTTAAAAATGCCTGTGATTCTGGTAATGTAAGTGACTTAGTCATTTACATACTAGCATGACTTAGTTGAATCAGATCCTTTTCTTCTAAGAGTCTTGATCAACAGCACTGAGAGCAGTACAGTTTTTATAGTGTTGTTATTTTTAAAATTATGATGAAGGAAGGTATTTTATTTTGGAACATGGAAAACTTTAGGAGTAGGAAAGGTGTGGATAGAATTGCTGTAGTACTGTTGAAGACAGGTTGGGACATTAGCTGCCTGGAGACCTGAAAGAATGGGTATTAGAGATCAGAAAAAGGATGCAGAAAGAAATATCGGAAGATACCAAAGATGGTTTCGCCCGTTTCAAAATTTAGCTGAGAGCGTGCCCTTTTTGTCTTCTCTCTTCTGCACTGCATAGTCTTTTCCCCATAAAACCCCAGACGTGGGTTATTAATATTAGGGCCACAGTTCATCTATATTATGAGTGAAAATTTTTGTAGGCTTTTGTCTGAAGGACCTGACAGTAATACCATTTTTCTAGGAGAGAAAAATGTTTTCTGCCTTCCAAGTGACTTATAAGTAGATATTTGAAGTATAAGTGGTTTGAGTTGCCTGTAACTCATAACACTGTTCATAAACCTTGCCTTTAGAGCTAACCTCTTCCAAAGGTAGCAATTGAGCATGCTGTCGAAGTTATATTCCTTTGGGACTCTTCTATGTGTGGCTGCTTAATTTCCTGAAATCTTGCAGAGATATTATTTTACAATTGATCTGTAGAAATTTACTTGTTTGTGTGAATGGAGCAACGTTTGCAACCTTCAGACAATGAACTGTTATGCATTGAGTTCTGGTTCCAGCATCTTCACTAATGAGCTGGGTGTGCTTAAGCAATTAATTTAACCTCTTTGGGACTGAGTTTCCTTTTCTTAAAAATTGAAATAATAGCTGATCATTCATCTTACAGTTTTGGAATATTAAGTGAGATAATAGTTATCAAAACATTTGAAAAGTATAAAGCACAATGTAAATATTCACGTATAATAGTAATATTAGATGGAAAAGATTTTTGTAAACTTTAATTTGGAGTTTTTTCATTTTTTTCTGAGTGATGCACATACTAAATGCATGAAGATTTTTCTTATACTTTTCTCTTAATGGGAAGCAACAGATTTATATCTTTTTGAGTATTCCAATAAGAATTTAAGATTAAAATTGTGTTTTTTAGATAAATTAACTTTGAAGATTCCTTGGAAAAACCTTTATGGAGAAGCAGTTGTTGCAACCCTAGAGGGATTATACCTGCTTGTTGTCCCGGGAGCAAGTATGTTATTTTAGGTTATAACCATTCAGTAACATCATAATGAAGTTAAATTGTTACCTAGGTTTAGTATTTTAATATGTTTAGTAAGGTAGAAGATAATTTAAACTAATAATATGCATATATGCACATATGTGATATATTTTTTATATGAATACACATATACAGTATATTGTTACATTTGTACATAAAATATTTTTATGTTATTGAAAAGAATAAATTCAACCATTTAAAAATTTATTCTGTTCTCCATGAGTAATTATTTTGTAACTAATGCTTCCTGGAAAGTCAAGATGGGGAATGAAATGAAATAAGTTTTTAAAAATGTACTGATGTGTTAATCTACAGATTTCTGGATTAGAACATTTATTTTATTTTCCCCATTTTGTTGCTTCTGATTTTGCATGAACGTTTCCTCAAAAATGTATGTGAAATAGGTAGTAATTTTTTCTTCAGAAATTATTGTATTTTAATTTTTAATGAATGTTTTAAAATAGTGATGTTTAATAATATTTAGTTACTAATGTTTTTTCAGTTATAAGAACAATATTATATTAGGAAAAGTTTGGATGTTTTATGGAAAACTTATAATTTCTCAACCATGATACAAATATAATTTTAGTTTTGCTTTTTGCTTTTCAGTCTTTACCATATACACACTTGATTTTAAGTAACAGTTATTACTTTATACATATAATGTTGACCTGGCCTTTTCTTTTTCTTTTTTTTTTTTTTTTTTTTCCTTTTTGTCTTTTTTCGTGTCCGGCAACGGATCGCAACCCTCAGTGTCGAGCCCGTACCGGGCCGGGACCGGCAAGGGATCGCAACCCTCAGCGCTGCACCCGCACCTCACTCAGCCAGTGAGCGGGAACCGGTCTGTATGTGGGATCCGAACCCTCGGCGGGAGCGCTGCCGCGCTCCCAAGCGGCACACTGTAGCAGTGCACCACCGGGCCGGCCCTGACCTGGCCTTTTCACTTAATATATACCTGTTTTATATTTTTCACAGTTTTAATGGTGATAGTGACAATTTTAAAAGACTCTATGATATTCCCTTGTGGGCTGCCTACTATTTTTTGCTTTTAAAGTGAAGACCACAAATATCTCCTTCTTATAGATCTTTTTTATTCTTTTGTGTTATTTCCTTAGGGTACATTATATCAGAAACGAGATTACTAGATAAAAAGTGTATATATATTTTATGATTGTTGAAGCGTAATCCTGAATTACTTTTTGAAAGTCTTCTTATCAAACTACATCGACAGCAGATGGTATTGGATAGTAAATTTTTTTGAAATTACTCAAAATTTTACCACTCAGAGATAATAACTGGTGCTGTTCTGGTGTATTTTCTGCCTTCACTCTCTTAACTTTTTATGCAAACTTCTTCTCTCTGTTCCTTTTTCCTTTCTTCCTATAATTTCTTACCCTCTCTTCTTTTTTTGGGATATGTTTTATAAATAAATAGGAATTATTAATGTTTAAACTTTTTGTAAAACTAATCTAATGAATGCAAAAGTGTTTTTGGACTTTAAAAAAAAAGACGTTACATACACACACAATGTAGTGAAGCTGAACTTTCCCATTTGTGTGTTTACTAATTCTGTTTCCTTTTGTGTGAATTAACTACATATTTTTAGGTATTAAATATGATGCTGAAAAAGAAGAAAAATCCTTGCAGGATATTAAACAGAGAGAGCTATCCCGAATTGAAGAAGCCCTTCAAAAAGCTGCAGAGAAAGGTACAATAAATTTATGTTTTAGATAAACTTAGATGTACCTGTGTTTTAGATATATTTAATGCCCTTTAAAGAGAATGCTTTGATAAGCCTTCATAAGCTGTAGTCCCTGAGAAGGATCTTCTTTTAAAGTCAAATCTCAAAATATTGATTATAAATGTTTTAATGACTCACATTTAGGAATACAGTTGGCTCTCCATGTCTGCATCCCCGTGTTCAATCAACTGTGGATCGAAAATATATGTGGAAAAGACAAATAAAGAGTAATAATAC